AAGATAAGAGACTCTCTAATGTCATGGAAAATTGGTATTTTTACACTCTGGTTTCTATGGTGGAATTATTATGGATATGAATCCTTATTTTGTTACAACATTAAAAAACTGAGTGAGTTTCCGGGGTGAAACTGTTGCATAACATACAGTAGGTATTTCACCCAACCTATCACATTTATTCACAGTGTTTCTGCCAGAGCACTGGTTTGTGTCATTTGACGCAAAAAAAAAAAAAAATATTGTCCCTCAAAAATAACAGTTTGGGGTCACATGGATGCACTGATATCATTATCCGGAAATCAGACAGTGATGCGTGTGTTTGTATACTTGGGAATGTTTTACAATTGTTTATATTGCTGCATGTGTATGTGATTTGATTGATAGTTTCATGTTATGCTGTGTCTATTTCGTCTGTTACATGGTGAAAATCAATTCATTCTGAAATAAATTGTTGCTATTATATCTTTGAGGCCGCATACCAAATTGATTTATACCAAGTTTTATTTTCATGGTGAGTCAATGTTCAATGTAGTTGGAAGTCAAACACAAGAATATGCCGGGAATTTACACTAACTGTCATTTACTTCGAATCCGTATCATGACAAACTCTGATAGCAAAAGGATTAATGAATAAAATGACTTTCAGTTCGTTGCAACAATGCGCTTGCTAATGGATGTGATGTCCTGTTATGACAAAACAGAGTTTCGTTTTTGCGAAAAGCCGACAACAGCATCGCAATGGTCCAAGTTTCCGTTAACAGGTGCCATTGCAAAATGTGGACTTTCTATTCAGAATCATATAAATCCAAAATGTGTATTAGACTGCAACCTCATAAAGTGGACACACTGTCTCTGATCTCTGGTGAGGGACCCATTATTACTATTATTATTGACTTGACAATGTTGTTTTTTAAGAACAGTCCAAGCATAACTTCCCTACCCATTCTTACACCATAAATTCAGATGGTATGTAAATTGTATTGTAATAAAACGTGTGTATTTTTATGAACATGTTGGTTTCTTCATTGTAAAAAGTGTTGCGAAAATCAATGACAACTCATTTCATATTTTTTCTTCTTCAAAATGACATAATATTACCCGAGCCCGGACACGAAACGAAAGATGTAATTTGATTATTTTTTCATAGGTGGTAAGATGGTCACAATGTTAAACCCCCAAAAAATATTTTTTTCTGAGGTGGTCTTCGAGTATAAGCCCACCCCTTACTTTCCCCGATTTTACATGTTGAGGCCCTGGGCATACATCGGGGAAATACAAAGTCATATTTCAATGCAAAATGTTATAGTATGGGTGAATTTGAAGACTGAATTGTTTATGTTTGAATTTAACCCCATGGTATGACAGAAAAACAAAGATTGCACATTTTGTTCTGTTTTTGGAGTAACTTGCTGTTTTATGTAACTTGTTCGCCTTGTTGTACATATCCATGAACATATCACATTGCATGTACATGATGGTGTATATATGGTATATATTTGTGTTCTTTGCTGGAATGTCAGTTGATGAGCATTTTTAGGGATTTTGCTCTGATGGAAGGTTCAGTAGTGAAATTTGGTATATTTTGCTGGAAAGTCAGTTGATTTGGGGGGGAATTTTTGGGGGGGTTGTCCTGTTATTCAAAGTTTCAGCAGTGAATGACTTGTTTGTTTGCTCATGGAACTATAATGCTAGACATCGTTTTTAAAATCTCTTCTCTATCATGATAACTGAGACCGTATTGATAAGATAAATAATCATATAATAATCTACTTTACCTGTTTGACAGCTGTAACTGAGATAACAAATAAAAGAGGAAGTAATGTAGTCCATGGGCTCACCGGACTATCGATGGTTAACTAGAAATTAAATCAAAAATGAAAATTAATCTTTGAACTTCCTCAACTCTTAGCTCCAAATTTTTTTGATTATTTGAGGAAAATTTTTTCACATTTTCTGTAATTCTCACTGAATTCAATCTTAATTTTGGACCAACTAGACACAATGTGACACTGATTCTAGATTTCGATCAAAAATGTTCGCAACATTTCATGAATGACTTAAAGGGTTAATCTTGAGTATGAGGTACCGGGAACATGAGGTTATAATTTCAAATATTGTATATTTAGTTGACTAGGAGGACTGCCCTAAGCAAATAGATTTGGTGGGACTTAACCTCAAAGAGAAGATTTCATGCACAAGTTTTTTACTGCATAACAAGTGTAGCTGATTACTTGTGATCTGAGTTTCACAACTACCAATACATTACAAATATAATTTAGTTGCTTTATAGCGTCAATATTTCTCTTCAATTGTGGATACAATGGGTTATAGAGTAGTGGGAACTTTCAGTTTAATCGCTGCATGGCTTCATGAAGGCAAAGTCTATATTTAATCAAGGTCTGATTTACCAATAACATCATATCGTATAGCATAGTTCATATATCATGTCACTGTGACTAATAGGTGATTTTCCGTACAGTTGCGAGATCTCGCGAGATGCATGAAAGACGCGCGTCGAACGTCTGCCGCAAAAATCGAATGATTTGATTTTGAACGAGAATTTCTTTATTTCGTAGCTTACATTGACCGGCCGATCTTGACAGAGGAATATTGCTTCCGAATACCCTTACTTAAGCGAAATTGACCATCATCAAATGTGGACAGCACATTATTAAGCATGGAAATGTTCCCGAAATACTTTCGCGTTTGTCGAATCCCACGCGATGTTTGACGCGACTACGACGCTATGACCTTTGTTTGTCCTGTTTTTTCGTTCGATTTCACGCATAACGCGTGATTCTCGCAGTGAACGGAAAATGGTCTATTATTTATGAAGATGTGCAATTCAAACCAATAAGTAAACAAAGACTAGAACAGTGCCACATAATTATGAGTGTTTAGGTATTGAAATGATTTAGCAAGGGCTTTGTTTAAACAATAAATTAGGGGATACATAACAAATCACTGACCCCCCACAGTGAAGTAACTTAGATACAGTGGAAATTTGTGCTTTTGTATAATTAAGTCTGACAGATATTTGATTTGCTAGTTTGTTATTTACTAGCTTTCCTGGTAGTACCATAGCAACTCTCTGGTTGCTATGTGATTAATAGCAACTCCTTGATTGCTATGCAAATATTCATATTTGGACATGTCCCACAAACACTTACAGTTTGAGGACATTTTCACTTTATATTAGTTACATGTATTATAATAAAACTTAAGACACAAGACTTTTTTTGTATCTGGTATACATGTGTTTTATAATAGGCGAGTCAGAAAAAAATGTTTGCCTGGCACCAATGTGCCCTCTAAATTGATATGCCACACTAGTGGTGGACAGAAATTTGCTGTGACAACTAGTCATTGACAATAAAGAAAATCATACATTAATATATTGATTCTGAAAAACATCTTACTAGTTACAAAATTTGTAATTTGGTAAAATTAAATTCACAATTTATAAAGCAATGTAAAAATGAAAGGAATCCGGGACCACAACATTTTAGTTTTTCCTTTAAGTCATCTACAGTCATATACAACTTAATTTTTTTTTTCTTTCG